ACACTTCTTTGCCTGGGTAACCCACTTGAAGGAGATGGAGTAAGCAGTAGCAATGGCTGATTCTAATAAAAAGATATGTTAATGACAGAAATGACTAAGGGACATGACCCAGACAAAGTTGTAGAGGCTGGGGCTGTATGAGGGGATAGAATTTGGTCAGGCTGGCCTGGTTGAATCAGGTAATGCTCCTAAAGATGCACTGGGTACGACACAGGGGGCAGAAGAGAATTCAGCAGGATATGGAGATGACAGTGAAACTTTGGTGTTGGGATGCATAGGATGGACTGCTGGATGTGGGAGCATTTCATCAAAAAGGGCAGAGCTGATTCACAGAAATGCAAACAAACAGAAGTGCACCCTATAAATCTTCACTGTTGGTCAGGTCACCATGGGTCTGGAAAGGCCCTGACTCAAGCATTGTGCTGTGCTTCAAGTACTGTGTTGAAGTACTGAAAAAGAAACCAGTGCAAAAGAGCAAGAAAGAGGGGACATCTGTAATATGCAGCACATGAGAATGCTTATCCCAGGAAAGAAGAGATTGAGCAGAGATTTTCAATGTTTTTTTTTGTTTTTTTTTTTTGTAGATCTAAGATAGCAGTAAAGAGAAATGAGACTGGTTACTCTCTGCTTGTTGGTGCTAGGAGGAGAGAAGCAGAAAAATCAGCTGAAAATTCTCAAGCACTTCTTGTGCTTTCCAACAGCCTAACCAATCAATGTCAAAGAGGTGTTTTGATTCCATGAAGCAAAATACCTCTATCGACCTGCAGTGATGTATTTGTGGTTTTGTTGTGGAATTTGGCTTCTGAGGAAAGATGTGCTTATTACATGGAGCAGTACAACACCCTTGAAGAGAAAGCTCCCAGACTGGTCAAACTTTTCTTGAAGTCAGATGCAAATACATCTCACTGAGTAACACTGATGTGTACTTTAATTCATCCTTGATTTTTGAGAAAGGAAAGAAAGGAAAAAAAAAAAATTTGAATTAACAGTCTTGTTCTTCACTGTCCAAAATAACACCAATTAATTTTCATTTAGAATATTTATTCCAGATTTCATGTCATGACTTTGTGGAAACATGGCTTTAGGCTCATCTCTGTGAGCCTCAGATCAACTGCGACCTGGACCAGATGGAATTTCCCAATTTCCCATAGTCTAAGGCAAATTTCTCAAAATACGTAACTGTGAAAGACAATTTTTCCACAGTAAAATCAAATCAATTCTAGGTATTCTAGGAACATATCAGATTCTTGTTTCTGGTACAGTTTCCTTTAAGATGTTCATCTAATGGATTGTCCACATGTTCAATCTTCCCCCAGATTACTTTCTCTTTTGGAGATGCTCAGTGAATAAAAAATCAGCATTTCGTCTCTGTCACCTAACTAATATGTTGTACCTGGTGACATTTTAGGTAGAGGCTGCAAGTCTTGTACATGGGGCAAGCAGATGTAAAGAAGTTAATGAAATGAGAAAGAAATCAAAGTAGGAAAGGACAATTCCTTTTTCACAGGTGTTGGTGGCTTACTTTGAAGTTCAGCAGCTCCAGTAGCCTTCATCACAGCCAGGATAAGACTGTTCTTTCAGCCTTGTACTTCTTTCTCCATTCTGAGATTGGTGTACCTTCCATGTTTTTACCAGTGTGTTAGAACAGGTTATTGGAAGAAGACCAAGTGTTTAATGACCCAAGAAAAAGGCTTGGCCAATTCTGTTTGATAACAAGTAAAAGGAGAGTTGTTTAACACATTTTAACTGGCTCAACAGCATTTCACTCACTACACCAGATGCAATGGGATCTAGTTTTCCTTCTGAAATGTGATTGAAAATATACTTCTCAGAAACTGTAATGATGTAATTACTTCAAAGTTAACAATTAGAATGTTTATCTTCAAATTCTAAGCCTTACTGCTGGAAAAAAAGAAAGTTATGGTGGGCATATTAGCCACCTTTTTTTTTTTTTTTTCAGCTAAAATTAGTATTTCCCTCCAAGTAAAAACACTTTCCTTTTTTTTTTGCCAGACATTATGTGTGATATACAGTCGTGAATGAATAAAGAACAACCTCCCTCCAACTTAGCTTTTCCAGCTAAACTGATAGTGAAATTTATTCTTCTTTGATATCCTCAGTTAAAGTAAGTTAAGAACTGAGAGTGTTACTATAATTATTCTTTAAACTGTGTGTATTTTCTTTGTGCAGTAACAGTGGCAAAGTGCATGACAGTTTTTCATCTTCATCACTAGGGCCATGCCAGTGTGCTGAGAATAGAGAAGAGAAATGAATCAACATGCAACAAAGCTTGCTGGAACCAGCAAGGATCTTCCCATGGGTGTCAACAAGCTTTCATTCAGCTCATTCATAGCAGATTTTCTGAAAGAGTTGAGCTCCCCTACAGGGGCCAGATTCGCAAAAGAGCAGAGCAGGTGGGAGGCTTCCGGGGAAAATCTGTTGATAAATGCCAAGCAGAAGCAGCAGGGATCTGAGCTTGCTGGAGGAGCTGAGGAGATTTCCTGAAGCATGCTTTCAGAGATCAGTTCCCATCTACTTTCCCACCAAGCAAGCTGCCAAGATGTAATGGTCTCTGAAAGCCCAGCAGAGATTTGTCTGCCCTCAGCTCTGCTGATACACTCCAGTGCCAGACTCACTTTATTAATTACTCCAACTCTAAACCACACCAGGTCTGCAGTCACCTTCTGGCTCTCCTTACTGCACCAAAGGCAGTCCATGCAAGCAGAATTGCTTCAGCAGTTCCTTCAGACTTAGGAGAGGCATTCTGCAAGCCCGGATGTGATGAACTCTAGCACTACACTGCATGGAGTTGAAGCCAGATTCAAGCTTGGCAGGAATCCGCTTATCACTATGGGACATGTGAATTACAGAGTCATTAAGGTTGGAAAAGACCATTAAGATCATCTAGTCCAGCTGTCAATCCATCACCACCATGCCCACGTGTAACTTAACTGTGCAGCCATGGAGTCATTGCTGCTATTCAGGCTTGAAGCCCTAGTTGAACTGGTTTCTTCCATGGTGAAGTGTATATGATTTAGTTTTCCCTGAGGAGCTAAGCATATTAGCAGTTCCAGATAAGTGTAACACCCTGAGTCCCAGGAGATATGGTCCAGCTTACTGCAGAAGAAGGTCAGCTCGTCACCTGTTAATCATTAAACGAGCACAACTGGTTCACTCCTCACCATGGCTGCACAGAATAAGGCTGAAAGTTTCATCTACCTGAGGACTTCTTACAAATTGCAGAACTTTGTATGCTTGAAGAATATGTATTTCTTCATTTTCTTAGGTTCAGCTGTACGTTTTTTTTTGTCTTTTTTTTTTTTTTTTTTTTTTTTTTGAGTATCCTTTGCTCCTCCTAATTTCAATTGGAAGGAGTACGTTTGTGCTTCCTCCTTCTTTTGATGGTTGGACTAGATAATCATAGTAGTCTTTTCCAACCTTGATGATTCTATGATTCTATGACTTCTTTTCTCTGGCTGTCTTTTCTTTTGAGCTCATGTGCCTGCTTTGTGGAGAAATACACTTCTGTGCCTGGAAGTTTTCCCTGACCTCTCTCTGGACTGGAAACCATTTGTCTGGGTGGGAGTCCAGCTCAACTCTGTAATTAGCAAAGCTATTAATAATTAGAGGACTTGTTATCTACCAGAGGATGGAAAACTACACATGCTGTTGCCAAAAATAAAAAAATTACCTCCTGTGGAAAGAGCTGTGATTTGCACAATGTTTTGAAAAACATGTAGCTGATCTGTCATAAATCATGGATTTCTTTGTTTGCAACACCATCTTGGATCAGTCCTGGCCAGCAATAGGACAGAGCTGACATTCTTCTGAAGAAATAGTGGGATCATCTCCATGTACCAGGAGGAAAGCCATACAAATTACAGTTTAGATTTTCCTTATTTCCCTTCTAGCTACCAGAATATCAAGGAAGTCCTATGTCTCAGACTTTTCAAACATGATATCTAGGAGCACATTTTTTTTAAAAAAAAGAAAAAAATCCAAGATTGCCACCTGAATTGCCTGACACCAAAATTTCAGGAAGACAAAAACAACAAAAAATCTGAAGAGCTCTGATGAGCTGTGGGGTTCATAATCACAAGGAGCAGTAATCACAAGAGATAGCAGTAATGGCAGTGTTGCTGCCAGAGCCAGCAGGGTATCAGAGGCTCAGCAGGCAGGGTTTGCCCTGGTGCCCTTTACTGGTCTTTTTTACTGGCTCATTAAGTAGAACTGTTGCAAAAAGAAAAAAATCAAAATTGGTTTCCCCTCAGAAAGTCAGTTCAACAGAATTATCCACCCACAAATAACTGTCAAAACAAATCTTTCCACCTTGCTCCAATAATGTCATGTCAGTACATTTCAGTCCTCCCGATAATTTGTTCCGGTGACATAAAATGCTACTTCACAACTTTGTTTAATTCCTTTTTAGCTTTATTACAGACAAATTAACATTCATTTTCATTTTAATGGACCTTGCCATTTGCAGCATTAGTATTTTGGATTCAACATTTTTAAAGCCAAGTGTGTTCTGACTCCTTTGCTGTTTGCTGCTTCGGCATTACTAGAAGTAAATGTCAATCAACATTATTGCAAATGACATGTTTGTCCAGCTCTAAGTCGGGCTGAAAATTTCAGAAAGAGCTTTTTATTAAAATCTCAACTTTTTTTTGACTATCAGTTCTATTTTTGAACTAAAGCGGAGTTTGGAGTCTTCAGAACCTGCAATGCTCTGGAAGATCTATTTTTTCCTACCATTCATTTTCAAATACAGACAAATACTAATGACTTCACTTTCAAAGGTCTTCAATTAATTAGCATGTTGATACTCATTCAACAAGATTTTCTGGCCTGCACCTGTTCTGTTGTACAAGACTTTGCCTTACCACCATCATCTTGATCCCCTCTCTCAGGTTCTTTGCTTCTCACTGCTACTTAAATTACTTTCCACTTTCAGAGTGGAAGGGCAAACAGTGCCATCATGATAAGAAACTCAAGAACAAGTAGTTGCTTCTGGGGCTTGTAGGATGCTTTTAGGGCTAGGCAGGGGCCAGCATGAGGAGGATTTACCTCTGTGGGGATTTACCAGAATATGAGACCAAGATGCCATATCTCTAATTACAGAAACATGGTTCCTTCAGCTGCTTCAAACTGATGAGAGCACTCCACCCATTCCTCACCAGCTGCCTGGACCCACCCCCATTTTACAGGTCTTCTGATCAGCTGGGAAGTGGCACACTCCATTGTACCCTGTGTTCTGGGAGTAGGCAGTACAAGGACTTCTGGCTCAGTGAATCATTCAGGTGAGATCATCCTTTCTTTTTCTCTTCTTTCTTCCTAAGCCCTTCCTTCCTGTGCTGGGTCACTGGCTAAGCCTTGCAGGAAAGGTTCACTGTAACACAAACTTCACTTGTATAGCTCTTGTTAATCACTAATTAAAGGAGATGTCAGCCGGTGACTCCAGAAGGAAAACTGTAATTTTACCTGTAGCTTTTTTAGTGCTCTGCATTGGAAAGTATCTCCTGTCCTTGTGGACTACTTGAGAGAATTTCAGGCTTTCTTAATTTGTAGCCATTAAAACTCTCCCAGAGGACCTTCAGTCCCACGTATGTATCATTTCAACATCTTGAAAGGAGGCCAGCCTCTTCTGCTTACTTTTCATGTGCCTTCGTGAAACTTCCACAGCAGTAAGGGCTGTGCTACCTTTCCTAGGTATCTCTATAAATGACCTCACTGGGGAAATTACTCCAAAAAATGAGGTCTGCAGAGGCACAGCCCTTCACACAGCACTAAGAAGAGGTCCATTTCTCAAAACTGGTGCTCCTGGGAAGCAGGGGAAGTCAATGCTTGTATTTCAGACAGGCTGAAACGTTTTCTTCTGATAAGTACGTGTGGGAAATATTAGATATCAATGCAAATACTCTCCAGCAAGCAGCAGTGTGGCCCTAATTAGCCAGATTTAACTCTGTAAAAAATGAAGAAATTTATCTTCCCTGCCCAGTTCTTACTGCACCACTAGCTGTGATAAGTTGCCTACTTTTTAAAGACTGTAGCAAATTAACTTCTTTATGTGTGCCCCTCATGTAAAATGCCTGTGCTGACAGCAGTGAGCTGCTTCTCTCTCCTGAGAGCATTTCCTCTGCTCCTGCTAAGGGCTAGGTGCAGAGCTACAAACAAACAGGCTATTTTTGCACTTTTTCTGCACAAAGAAAATAGCTCCAAGCTTGAACAGAAGATCTCAGAAGGCAAAACTGCCTTTTGCCGGACCAAATCCCAGAGGCGTGTGTTGAAAAACAAACTCTGAGTGATCTGTATGCTTGATCAGCACATCTGACTTCATCTTCCACCCGCAGCTCCCTCCTGGCTGGGCAAGCATGGGGGAACCATTTATCTTGCTTTGCTAACTTTCTGATGAGAGATATTGGGGTAAATTCTGCAGTTTTCATCCTGATGTGAGATATGGGGGTGAGGAAAGGAGGTATGGGTGCTGCATCCTTTCAGGAGCTGCAGAAAAAAAGAGAAAAGTAGAGCCAGTAGCTTACGTTAAAATGCGTCTGTGGGACTCTCAGCATGGTGGGGACACCTTTGGAGGTGAACTGATTGCTGATTTGCTCCAGGCTATACTGCAGATATCGTGAAATGATTGTCTTGCTCTGCTCTGCACCGCCTCATCTCCAGCACTGGGTGCGGGTTTGGGCACAACAGTACAAAAAGATAGTAAAACTGTTAGAGTATCCAAAGGAGGGCTGCAAAGATGGAGAAGGGTCTGTAGGACGAGATGTTTGAGGAGTGTGGAGGCGCCTGGGTTTGCTCAGCACAGAGCAGAGGAGCTGAGGGGAGGCCTCATGGCGGCTGCAGCTCCTCACAGGGAACGGAGGGCAGCACTGAGCTCTGCTCTCTGTGACAGCAACAGGGCCTGAGGGAATGGCGTGGAGCTGTGTTGGGGGAGGATTTACCAGATGATCACCAGACTGTGATGATTTACCAGAATATGAGACCAAGATGCTGGACAGGGTCTGCACCAGAGGACTGTGGGCATGGCCCACAGGGAGCACTGTGACAACGCTCTCAGACATCGGGTGCAGAGCTGTGAGTTGGGCTCATTGATCCTTGTGGGTCTCTTGCAACTCGAGATATTGCATGATTCTAAATTACAGTGAAAGCCCCGGGGTTTCAAGACACTGCATGTTCTTCCTGATGAGTGCTGTTGAGTTCCTCTCAGACCAAGTCAATGTTTGTCTTACACAAATGTTCTCTGCAGAGGTTAATGCAGAGTGCAGCTGACTTGGTAATGCTGTTTTTGCTCCAGTGCTTTGGTAAGACTTTTCTGAAGGTAAAATTTTAGATTAGTGAATATTTGAATATGTAAATTGGGAGATTTTAATCGAGAAACAATTTTCTCTTGCATTCACATAAATAAGTTTTCCCATATGGGTTCGTATTCATAGACCAATATATTTCCCCCTGGAAGAATCCAATACTGGGTTTATGAGGCATGTCGTTTTGCTAAGCAAGCTAATTTTTCTTAGTATTTAAACTTAATTTTTTATGTAAATATCTACTTACAGTTTTCTGCCTTCTCTGTGTATTTATTTTTAAGAAATATCAAATGATCAAACTTGTGACGTTCCTTACACTCATAATGAGCAGCACACTCTGTGAACTAAAAGCAAATGAGCTGCCAGAAGGGCTTTATAAAATAAATAAATAAAACAGTAAGTTTGCTCCAAAAATGAGAGCTTTGGAAGAAAAGAACCTATTTATGAATTGAATTTAGCAGAAAATGTAGGAAAACATTTAAGGTTGTGGAAACATGTTAATTCAATAGTATCATTTCAGCTGTGTCAAATGCTGATCGTTTATGAAGTGCATTTGTGGCTTACAACTGTCTGCGAGGAAAGGGAGCAGAAAAGAAATAAGTTGGGTTGAAAAGCTGTTAAGTAAGCCCAAAGTCAAAGCTGTCATGCCAGGGCTGTTTTCCTGCATGGTGCTGAGGGGAGGAAAGCCTGACAGTGCGCAGAGCTCTGTCAAGGGCTGTCCTTCTCCGTGTTCCCAGCGTGGGAAAGCATGGGGTGATGCTTTCTCTGGAAAGCATCCATTTTAGGGAAGAAACCTCTAGGGCTGCTGGCAAATTACCCCAGCTATTTCTCTGCACAGACAGCCCTCAGATTTCAGCCAGTCATTGATTTCTCAGCTTCTGACCTCTGTTTTTTTTTTCTTTCAGATTTTTCAGATCTTGGTTCCGCTTGAGTATGTATTCCAGGTAAGGCACACAGAGCTGTGCTGACAGCAGGAGATGCACAGATTTAGAGATGTGAGCTCCATTAACACTAATAACATTAATTACATTGCAAAACAAATTCCCCTTGAAAACATATCCCACAGGGTCTGAAGCAAATATGTATTTGTTCAAGCCTGACTAACTGTTCTCAAAACCACCTATCAAGGAGACCGTTCTGTGAATGGAAGCTGAAGAAGTTGCTGCTGCTCCTGTGGAAGAACTACCTTCTGAAGAGAAACAAAGGGGATGGAACAACTCAAAGTGTTGACATCAGCAGGAGTACTGGAAAAAAATCAGAAACATCTGCTTTTGTATGATCAAATAGGAATATCATAAGGTTGAACGATTAAGAAGTATGAGTCTCCAGGACATCATATGAAAATCAGTATAGAGTATGAAATAATAATTAATGTCTAGAATTGCTGGACAGGATTGAATAATTGCTTACAACCTTTCTGCTTCTGGGAAGGTGCAAGGTCCTCTAGGAAACAACAAGCTGTTGAAAACAAAATGATTTCCTGACTTCCACATCCTCTTAGCTTTAGGGTGGCTCTTAGTTGGTGGATTTCTAACCTTTCCCAAAAGCTCCTATCTAAATCTTAACTGTTGCAAATCAACTCCTTCTCCTCAGACATAAAAACAGACAATCTGGACTCATATCCTATTACATTCTTGGCATTAATATCTCTTAGTGGCTTGTTTTACAGAACTCTTTGCTGAGAACACAGCAGGAAGAGAAATAACTCCGTAGTTTTTATAAATTTAGGACTGGTCTACTTTGGCTCTGTCTGTTTAGTGACCAAATAGCCTGAAGTCAAGCCAGACTGTCTGTGGAAAAAGTTTCCTGTAGCTCCAGAAAGCAGCCAGATCCCAACTCTTCCAGCATCAGACATCAGCAGAAGCCTCTTTGTGCCAATTGCCTAAATGCCCCACGGCAAGACACATTCAAGGGATATGGGGAACAGATCTGTTGCTTGGTTCGGAGTTCTGGCACTGGTGCCAGCAGGTGAACCCTCCCTACTGGCACAGTTACTCACTAGAAGTACCACTAGCCTCAGCAGCTTCCGTGCTAAATGTGTATCTGCCTTCGCTGCATGAAGATGCCTACCTCAGCACGTGGATGGAAGAAGAGATCCAACCTCATTTCTCTTCTCTGAAGGAAAAGTAGCTGCAGCATTACTACGAAGTGTAGTGACGTCAGTGCCTGTGTCAACCTGGGACTTGAGAAAAAGATTCTGAATGTTTTTTCTTGAGTGTTTGGGATGGGGTAGCTTGCTTGGAGAAGTCAGTTCTTTTGAAGGATCCAGAGGTAACAAAGAAAATGTGGGAACTTTTTCCTTTTTAAATTCCTCCAAAATAATAATTAAAAAAAACCCAACAAAACATAAAATCCACAACAAAACAAAGAACAACACCAAAACTTCTATTCTCCCAAAAGAATCTAGGCATTGACTGAAGTAATTTTTTTCTTGGTTCATATACAGAGGGCAGCAAAGTTGAAGGTGAAAAATGAACTAAAACTTGGGTGGAGCAGGGTGGGCTGGCAGAGCTCTTCCAAACCTATTTACTACTTTGGCACCCACATTTTCATAAAGTGCCATTGTTGCAAGTGTAGATCTCCACTCATCTCTCTTATATAATGAATACAGTAGCACTAGGATGCTGGGTGTTTGCAGAAGACTTGGAAGAGCACCTCACTTCAAAACTACCCAGGCAGGGTCCAGCCGAATAAGAGCCAGGGTAGCAAATCCTTTGGCAACATGAAGGGAAGCGTCACTTGGTAATGTCATTGCTTTTTAAAGGATGCTGTCTATCTTTTGGTCATCTAGTGGAGTGGTTGTAGTTGAGGACCCTTATCTATATCAGCCTGTGGAAAATGATTATAAAGGATACAAACACAGCAGTGTACACTGAACTGTGATTAAAGGTTGAAGAGACCATAAGACATAAAATGTTCACAAAGCTCTGTGCCTCATTACCTGGGACCACGCATTTGTCTTGGGCTAGAAACAGCCAAGAGGAAAAACAAGGCCTTGTCATGCTGACAGATGTTTGATGGCTGAACCTGGGCCATGCATAAGTTGAGATTGCTTACATTGCCAGTCATCAAGAGGGTGTCTTAGGTAAGATTTGTAGGAGGTTGTGAGCAGCCTGAGCGCTCTTGGAATGGGTGTAAATGCATGAGAGTGTTGGTCATGGTGAAAATCAAAAATAACTCAGAGCCTTTAGAAAACAAGCAACCTTCATTCAATTGAATCATGTCAGAACGAAAACAGAAGCATTTTTCTGTGGCTCACTGGAAAGAGGGTGGCTGCTGGCCCTTACATCCAGGTCGGAGTGTGTAATATAGATGAATGCACACAAACCAGTTTATTTTTAAAGGTACAGTCTTCTCTCTGCTAAAAGACAATTACCTGGTTTTTTTTTTGTTTTTTTTTTTTAATCTGCTGACAGTTCAGACGAATTTGATGAGTACTCTGCAAACTGAGTCTCAGTTTCCCTATTTTGAAATGTTTTGTGCCTCATTGGAGGTGCAATGAAATTCAAGTTGCTTTATCCTTGGTGTCAGGGAACTTCTGTATCCAAGGAAAGATGCAAAGAATTTGGCTATCTAGGAAACCTGAAGTGGTGTGACAACAACTTAGACTAATCAGGTTCTCTGACATAATTTTGGTCACGCACGCTGTGTAGATTACTCCAGCTTCACTCACTTAGCAACAACAACTAACAAAAGGTTCAGGTGATCTTTAAAACAAAGCTTTCGCATTGCTGTCCATGGCACTGAAACCATGGAGATTGATTGCAGATGCAGCAAGCAGCTTTGACAGATGAATGTTCCAAGTGTAAACATTTGGAAAGTCAATAAAGGTAATAAATCTGTGCAGTGTCGGGGAAAAAATAGCTGAATAAAGGCTTTTGGGGTGTTTGGACTGGGCACTGCAGAATCCTGACAATTCTGGAAACAGCTATCATTATTATATGTTGCTTTTGATTGCTTTATTTCATCACACAGACCCGCAGGCAGATGCAGTGTGCATCTATGAGATAGGAAGAATGTGGGGCTTTTCTTAGTCTGTCTGCTGTAGATATGGCAATACATTTTTTAAATGGGATGCTAGATGTCTAAGTCTCATTTTCAGAAATGATCTAAAAACAAACTTGCATATTGTTTTGTAAATGCTTAAAGATACAGGTAGGTGGCTATTAATGTCTAATGGGATTCCTGGAAGGATGAGATGTTGCAGTGGGTATCTAATCTATGAGTGCCTTTTGCACGCCTCAAGACAACTTTACAGCATCTGTATTATTTTTTGATGATCTGAAAATCAACTGTCTAGAAAATTAGCTAATTACTGTCTGAGCATATCTGGACTCTGAGTCCATAGTAACATGAACACAATTTCAGCCAGGTTAGAGAGAAGCGTCACTAAATCAAAAGGAATGTGGAATGTTCCTTTTGTTAGGGTAAACTTCTTAGTCAGACCTCTGACATCTTATGTATTCATTTTTCTGCCACACCTGAGATCAGAGTTTTTGCCAATCTTACTCTCTGGTAAGACAGCTCAAGGTGAGGTGTGAGTCTTCAAAGACAAGCAGTATCAGAAAGCATAGAAATATCCTACTTTCTGAGCTGCTTATTCCAATTGTTTTTTTCTCCCCCCCGCCCTTGTGTGAGGTGCTCAAGTTTCCGTAGGAACATGCAGGATGGATCCTCCATCCTTCAGCAATCCTCCAGTGGAATTCAGTCAGCAGAAGATATTTACTTCGTAGATACACTGTTGTAAAAAGAAAGTCATCTTCCCCAGAATCAGTGGGCTTTGTCTAAGAAAAAACAAAAGCAAGCTGCCACCCTGCTCAAGAAACGGTTTGTATTTTCTATCCCGGCTCAAAGAAATACTTGCTCTTTAAGAATGAGATAGTTTGGTAAGAACATATACACACACTACTGGAGCAACCAGGCACTAGCTTGGGCAGCTCAGGCAGGACAATGCTGCAAGTTTGAAAAAGAAATCAGTGCAGGATGTTGGAATGTCCCATGTGCCTACACAGTTTCACCTCCCATCTCTTTGTATGCCTCTCAATAGGCACATTTCTGAGTAGCATGAGATGGTGTGTCTTTTTTCTCCTTTTTATTAAATTGTAACAAACACAACTGCACTGGAGCGGGCATCTTATTAAAAAAGAACCAAGCAACAAGAAACCTTTTTTTTCTCTTTCTTCATTTGAAACAAATTTTAAAATAAGATCTTTATCATACGTGTGTGTCCCTTGTCAGGAAAGGAGCTTGATGTTCCATCTCCACATGACCAAAGACTAAGGCCAGCAGTTGCTATCCAGAATTCTTTGCTGGCTCTTTTAAAAGCTATCAGAGACTATACAAGCTGAGCTTAATCAAGTTCAGCTAATTCTGCTGTTTTTGTTGAAAAGATGTATTATAAGTAACTTATGCTTCCATTTCTTCCACCTCCATTTGCATTTCCTTAGATAATTGACTTTAAATATCATCACTTAATTGCAGTGTGTTGTGACATTCTCCTCTGCCGACCTGAACACACCAGTTCACACACTTCAATATCTATAAGACACAAAGGATTACACTGAACAGCATTAATCATGTTATTCTGCCAATTATTGTTCACTTTAAAGCTAGAAATTCCAGCTGAGTAATGCCAAAAAATTATCTTCCTCTGTCCATGAAAGTTGTAATATTGAGATGCCAGTACTTTGGGCTGGGTTGGCTGCTGCCTGTTTCAGTAGGAAGCAGCTGCAGACAAGAGATCTGTTCTTCATTTCCCCCATCTCTGGGTCTTGCAGTGCGTCTGCCAGGCTGCTTCCTCTGTGTCCCCGACAAATGGTTATTGTGGCTCCAGGGTGTGCAGATCATTCCTGCAGGTCACAGTTCACCTTCCCGTGCACTGCTTCACTGTATGACCCTTCAACCATTGTGTCTTGCTTTCCATGATTTCACGTGTGAAGATCTTCTCTCTTGAATATCCACTAATTTCAAATTAAATCTGCTGCAAATCTGCCAGGACAGTTCATCCACTTATAATACCATAATTCGGCAGAGCTCTGACAGGCATATTTATCCAGGAGCATCTGATTCCCTCCGAAGTTAATGAGCACTTCCACTTTTGCCACAGCAGCTTAATGAAAGTACACATCCCACTGCTAAATGATGTGAGATACTGCTATCCTGATAAGTGAATGCTACAATAGTGTTTAGCTCTCCTTTATAGTGCCATAGCTAATGATCCGGTTCTTTAAGTGGCCAGACAGATACAGGAACACTCAAGATGTCACCGTTTCCATTTATCTGAAACTGGGCTTACCTCCATACTTTGGCAAGGGATTTGCATTCCAAAGGCAGCTTTAAGACCATCCACTTTTTTTTTTTCTTTTTTCTTTCCTGTAACTGTTCCTGGTAGCTTGTGAATATCATGATTAAAGACCATAAATACCTCATTCCAGAGCTTTATGAAAATCTTAAGCTTCTGTTTTCCTGAGAAAATACCGACTTTCTCTTTCCGACTAAGTTATCTACTCTTGTTTCCTATTTAAAAGGGAGAGAATAAAAAAGATTTGGTGTTTGTAAAGCTCTCAGCTTGGGCTTTGGTTTGCCTCTGCTAGAGGGATGTCTGTCCTTGGTTCCAGCCTCTTCTGCTGTCTTCATTGCATACCATCACCAGTTGTGCTGCTCCTTGGTCTGACACCTTAAACCATTACTACAAATGCCATGACCACCAGATGCATGCTTTATACTCTGTTGGGATTGCCCCATTTGTACTATCATCACTGCTTTTACTGCCTGTGTGATCAGCGTTTTTAACATGCCGAATTGTGATTTGGCACCTCCAACTGAATCAGTGTTGGCTTGTCTTTAGTTCCTATGACACCTCCTTGAATAGATTTCCTTTAAGGATCACCTTCCTTTGCAAGGAAGTCCTACATCACACTGGTCTCCATTCTGTGTTGATCTTAATTCTTAAGAAAGTGCTTCTTCCCCATGGGGATCATTGTTGTACCTCATCAGTAACAGATTTCAATTTCTTTTTTTTTTTTTTTTTTTACTTTTTAAAATAAAACTCTGAATTTGGGATATATTATGGACAGATTTAGCTTATTTTAAAAAATAAAATACTACTTTCTGGCCCAAATCAAGAACTTTGAATGGGAAACTGATGCATGTGCTCTTCTGGAGCACTGATGACAGCCTTTGGATGCATGTCTAGTGAAAAAACAAGACCCTGAGATGTATCTCAGTGTCAACAAATTCATACCAATTTCCCACTTAAAGTAACACCCGAGGTTCAATGTGAGTCACTGCTTGGACTACAGCTTGCATAAAGCCTGCTGCAGTCTACACCAAGCTGTCAGACCCGCTCAGCTGGCAGGGTCTCCCTGCCCTGTCAGTTTTAAAGCACTATTGAAATCATTCTGCTTTCCAAGCTAGCACAACAGCTTGTTCACAGCACTTTGGGTTTTAATTTCAATCAAGATTTCTTGAAACTAATTAAAGCAAATGTAATCATCTGTGCTGCTCTTTGGATTGTCACCACTGATAGTTTATTCTCTCTTGCTGAGCAGTGAAATATAGCCTGAACTTTTAACTCCAGCAGTTCAGGCGATCCCCATTCTTATCTATTTACTCTACATAATTAATACAATTCCTTGTAATTTGATTAAAGCAGAGGAAATTTGGGATGTGGGGTTTTTTTGTTTTTTTTTTGTTGCTGTTGTGATGGTGTTGAAGTCTATTTCAGAGACATAGTGACTGATACTTTTTTTTCTGTATTTCTTTTAAAGCTTTAATCTTTATTATGTTATAAAACTTCCCCAACTCCAGGTGAAAGTTCTTAACTCTACCAGCAATGTTGCTTGCATGTAATTAAATCTTCCTTAGCTAATATACTTCATGGCTTTGAAAGGTTAGATATAAAAAGATCTTCTGTCATTCCCTTCTAAACTTATAGTGTTTCCCCTTTCAGGTAGAGGAGAATTTGCCTTTTCTCTTTCTTTTTTTTTCTTACTCACAAAATCCCTATTTGC